GTAGGCGTTTGATTCAATGGAGAGGATTCCAGAAGTGATATGAAGATAGGGTTTGGGATTTTTTGGGCGTTATTCAATGGAAAGACAATTTCTGAGGAAGGTTGCATGATAGCCTTACGAGAAAAAACATAGTTGTATACATGGGCTACCATCTTGGATCGTGGGGTTGTGAGTGTTTTGGAGGCTACCAACACTGATACAACATGGAAAACACAGGGGGGGGGGGAGTAGTATACCACTATCAGAAACAAGGGCAACAACACGTGACGGAAACAAACAACATGTCAATCACCACTACGTTCATGATTTTTGATCGCTACCGCCACGATTGCTCGACGCCACGTGCCGCTGCGCTGACCGTTGGGGACCAGGAGCGCCAACCCCTCCAAAATACCCGAGCCCGAGCCCAGAAGACACAGAACCCTGGTCTATTCCCTAAATATACACCCGCCCTAAACCCTAAACCCGAAACCCTAAGCCATAAATTAACTGCTGGAGGCTGTGTGAGTGATGATTGTTGACATGTCTTGGTTGCTGGAGGTTGTGTGAGTGATGATTGTTGACATGTCTTGATTGCTGGAGGTTGTGTGAGTGATGATTGTCGACATGAGTTGTGAGCCGTGAGCACAGGAGCCGTAGGGCCGTAGGGCCGTAGGCCGTAGGGGCCGTAGGCCGTGCGTCTTGTTGCTTGCTTGCAGTCTCCGGATCCTATAGCCTATAGGTCACAGACAGCGCGTCGTTGTTTCGTGTTGGTTGCTGGTTGCTGGAGATTGTGACTGAGGTTGTGTGAGTTGCGTGATTGATGCTTATCGACATGAGCTGTGAGCACAGGAGCCGTACGGCCGTAGACTCGTAGACCGTGCGTATTGTTGTTTGCTTGTTGGAAGTCGTGGGATTGGCGTTTGTGATTGTGTTTCAATTTGGTTTGTTGGCAGCGGCAACATGAATGATTGCTGATACAATGATTGTGTTTGTGCGGTGGCCCGTGTTGGCTTGTTGGCCCACCTTCTGAGTCTTTGGTAACATGATGATGGCAGCCAACATGAAAGACGTGAATGTGTAACGTGAGCCGAGCCAATGCCGCAATGTGCTGGCAAGATGACAATGCCGCAATGTTGTTGCCCAAGAAAGCGTTGGTCATTGTTGGTCACCAGTCACCGCTCGATTGATGAGTTCTTAAGTTCTTGTACTGGTACTGACAACGGACAACGATAGACTGGTAGGAAAGTTAGGTATAGGCAAGGCTAGCCGCTGAACCCTCCACTACACTAGGCGTAAACCACACCCAGCCCAGTGGAACTGTAACTGTAACTGTAACAATGTATTAATTGTTGTTGCTTGCTGCTTGAACGCAATGTCGTCGCTGCTTGCTCAGAGAGCGCTCGCAACCTTGCTGGCTACCGGTGTGGTGACATTCAGCAATGGCCAGACCGGAATAGGCAGAGATGCAGTTGTTAGCTGCGTAAGAAACTTGCTGCGTGAGCAAGGGCTATCCGCGAAGGCTGCCAATGATCGGATTGCCAATGCACTGAATGCTGTGCCCCGCTTGCAAGGTCCTGGCGTGCATGGAAACTTCATAAGCTTGAGACACCTTCAATCTATGTGCACGGCGTTGGGTTTTCGGCTGCCACCATTGTCATTCGAAATTCACGATGATTCCGGTGACGGTGACAGGCCCTTGCTGGTGGAGCCACGACAGACTCAGGTGGTACAGGCGCTGGATGGTGGGTTGGAAATATTATCATCAGACGATGATGATGAGCGACAAAGGGTTGCAGTTGCAGCAGCGCAGCCGGCACAGGCACAGGCGGCACAGCCCGTTGCAGTTGCAGTTCGGCCAGCGCCGGCAGCGCAGGCAATGCATGCGCAGCATCTTCTCGCCCAGGATAAACCTGACCTTGTGCGGCTATGCTTGAAGCAGCACCGTCAGTTGCAGACAAGGGATGCCAGGATTAAGGATTTAAACAAAAAGCTGCTGTGTGCAAAGCGAGCCCTTGCAAAGGAGGAGAAGAAGCAGTCACTGGCTTTGGCGATTAAGAACACAGTGGACGATGCTTTTACAATCCGCAAGCTTGGAAAACAAAAGGATGGCCGTGGCGGCAGGTTTTCGTTGCAGAGCATGTTCTCCATTGGGCTACGGAAGAGTTTGACACATGTGGCCGCTGCTGACTTTGGAGTACTGTCAATGACTGACATCTCGCAGCAGACGGTCATTCGATGTGAGCATCGGGCGGCAGCAGCACTTCTTCACAGCTTTCAGTGCTATGTGGCAGAGGGCGTCAAGATGTCAACGAAGGAGCCTGGGACGCCGCCAGATGCAGGTACTGGCTTTAATCTGTTTGCCGTTGGCTACAGATCCGATGCCACGAACTCTTCCATCTGGAGACGTAAGAAGCTCCATGTGCTTGAGGCGGCTGTCAGCTTCATCTGCGATGACGGCGCCTTGAAAGCCGGGAACTTTGCGGCTGGCATGACCTACCGACGTTGCGTGCTTCTCGGTAAGACATTACATGATTACATGATGTTATCAATAGAACATGTGTTGCCGGTTGCCGGTTGCCTTTGCCTTGGGCGGCTTTCAGCGATGTTTGCGTTTATCTCTGGAATCTAATTGTTGGCTTGGGCTGGCCTGTGGGCCTTTGGGTTATGTGCGTAGTGCTTGGCTCAGATTGATTATCATTACCATTTTATAATGTAAGATGTATGTACGTAAGTGATGTGAGTGTGAGTGCACCAATCAGGTCGGACCTCCATGTGGTCATGGGCGGCACCAGCTCCCATGCTTTGGGGCTGGTTGTGAAGCAGCTGCGTTCGTTGGGCATCCCGTATCTGCATGACATTGCCGGCCTGGCAGAGAAGCTGATTTTGCTTCGGTATAAATATTTGGCATAGTTGTTGTCGGTATGTAATAGTGTCGTAGTGTCGAGTCGTTTATGTTGTTTCCTGTGGTCTCTGTCTTAGTGCTCATCACCTGACCTGAGGCGAGGCGAGTTGCGGCCAAACTCCATATTTATTTTCGCTGACACGACTGACGCTGGCACCGACCAATCAGCGAGAAGAAAGCAAACACTGGCTGCAGTCAGTCGGGCAGGCCTCCCCAATGTGTTTTATGTCGACGTCAACTGCATCTTGCACCAATTTCATATTGCTGTCCGTGAACAATTGCAGATGGCTGACGATTTCTTGTCAGAAGCGCAACGCGCTTATCCAAGCACCATGGGTTCCTTTTCGAAGTATTTTGCATCGCTGGGTAAGTGCGTGAACTTCTGGAGAGAGCACGTTTCCGAGTTCATCGACATATATGAACGCACGCACGGAACGACGAGTCCACCAGGCGTCAATTATCGTCAGTATCCCATGCGCGTACTGTCTGGCCGCTGGGGTTGCGTGCACGCTGCCGAGCTGTTTTTTTTGGAGCGTAAAAGAGAGTTCCTGGCGCCAGTATGGCTGGCGCTGCTTTCGTCAACAATGAAGGCGGACAAGAATGAAACTGGAACTCCAGCTGCTAAGACGCCGGCAAAGGCCAAAGCAAAAGGACAGCCGAAAGGAAAAGCAAAGGCAAAGGCTAGAGGACAGAGCAAGGTGGCAGCGTTGTTGGATGACGATTCGGCGGAGGCATACAAGATACGTATGAGCAAATGGGCCTCGGGTGCGTTTGGTGCCCTCAGATGCCACGTATTCTGGGTTCTGCTGCGCTGCATGAACACTGCCCGAGCACCGCTCATGCATTTCTTTGCGTGGTGCCAGAAGAACAGTCAGGACGCGCTCTTGTTGAAGTTGGTTACCGGAAAGTCCGACGACATCTTGAAGGAATATGCGGAGTTGGCTTTGAACCTTGACAAATGGTTCGACGCAGCGTTGGTCGAAATGGGTGCCACAGACATTCCGGCACAACTGCAAGCGCTGCTCAAAGGTCTGACGTTCAAACTATTGATGAACGGGGCGGCCAACTTCAACATGCGCATTGTGACATTGACTCGAAGGCACCTGGATGCAGCATCAAACATGCTGACATGTTGCAACGTGCTGCGTGCTGATGCTGGTCAATGCTTGCTTGCATGCACTGTGTTGTTGTGTGCTTGATTCCTTGATTGATTGATTGAGATTGATTGTGTAATTTGATATAATTTGATTGCGGCTTGCGGCTTTGACTTTGTCATCTGCATGGTTAGCCAGTCAGTCCCATGGTTAGATTATTAAAATCCAGAATCCATCATTTGCTATCCTGTCATCATGACCGAGTCACCAGGTTTCCGCTGAAGCTGCTTTGGATGATATGGCGGCCACCGCTGGCAAGATGCAGCAAACGCAAAGGACTGACTTTGCGATGAGTCGTCTGAGAGTCTGAGTCAGAGTCCAAGGTCTTTGGAGTCTTAGTCTAATTAACATTCTAACTGTGAGAGTCCATGCAACGTTGGGCTCAAAAAAATGTTTTCCAAACATTCAGTCCAGTGGGTCATGTGAGTTCTGTGGCATTTGGTCACTGTGACGGTGGATTCCATGGATGATTCCGGGGACAGGGGCAAGAAGAGGGCCAGATCTGCGCCACCTCCACCTGCAGCGGCTGCGCCTAAATCATCGTCATCGCGGCCATCACGTGGGCGAGGTGGGGCCACTGTCAGTGGTCGTGGCCGCAACCGCCCTGCTGATGGAGGTCGTGGTCGTGGTGACAGTAGTGGACGTGGGGGCCGTCCTCGTGCTCGCAGTTGTCGTTCTATCGGATCTTCTTCTGACGACTCCAGCTTCTAGATAGCCTTGGGCAGGGCAGGTATGTGATATTTTCCTTGTACGCAGTGCCCGCCCTTGTTGGTTGGTTTACTTCAATGCTTAATCTGCTAATGCAGGCTAACACTGCCAACGGCTAACGGCTAACGGCTAATACCAACGCAGTACTCAGTACAAACCAATCCAAGGCTTTGACAGTCTGCTAGCGGATATCGCAGACAGACCAAACCTACCTGATGGTGATGCAGCTGCAGCAGCCGCTGAGGAAGCACTGAATGATATGCTCGGACTCGGCCGTGAGTCAGATGATGATGGTACACCAGCAGCTGCAGCAGGTGCAGCGCGAGGTTCGTCTGCTCCCGCTCCCGGTGGGCCAAGTCCGCCAACGCCTGTGCCATCAAGACCCGCTGATGCCAATCCGGGGCAGCACTGTGACCCGCTTCCCGCAGGACCACCGGGGTCGAGTGCTGATGGCGGGCCACTGCCTGCCAATGCAAAGGCAAAGGCGAATGGATGCATTCATTCCGCTGGACCGTCTAGTCCACATGCGCCAAGTCGTGCTGGTGGGCCACCAGTCCCATGTCCTGCCAAGGCCAAGGCCGATGGATACGTTCTTCCCGCTGCACCGCCTGCTGGCGCCCATGGGGCCAAGGCCAACGCTGTGCCCACACCAACGGTCAAAGCGGCCAGAGCGGCCCCGATTGGACACCCGGCACCAATGCCAAGTCCTCCCCGGCCCGGACCAGCGCACGAGGCGCACGCCCCACCTGCTCGACTAGACCCCGCCCGTGAGGCCCATGGGGTCAACGCCGCCCTGCCCGGACCAACAGCACCAGCGGACACCCGGCACACATCGGTGTTGGCCTTGGCAATGGATCTGGATCACCAATGAACGTGCACGCGGCAAATGGGCAGATGACGATGCCGCTTGCGTATGTGAATGTGCCACACGTCCTCCAGCAGCAGCCAAACACTGGTGGCTTCAGGGTCAATGTCAGTATCGAGGTGGTCATTCGACCCTTGCCGCCGCCACGGGAGCCGGATGCAGAAGCATGACACGCTATGCCGCCATGCCTTATGCCGCATGCCTGGCTGCTTTTTTTGAACCACGGACAGATTCTGAAATGAATGTTGTGGTCGCGAGAGAAAAGTATGTGGGCAGCCGCTGTTTTGAGTCATCAGTCATGGGCATGGGTCATGGACGGTCATGAAGTAGTCATGGAGTCATGGACTCATGAAGTCATGAATTCACTGACATGGACTTTTGAAGAAATATGTTACGGCAGCATGGTGCGTTACCGTTGTGATTATAATGTTGATGTGTGTTACGTTGATGTTGTTGATGTGTGTGTGTCATTCGTGACTCGTGACAGGAATTGCGGACGAATTGCTTGCTGCCGATATTTCCTCGCTGGAGTACAATGCAGCCAATATCCGACGCTTGTGTCAGTCGGAGCTGGAATTTATATCCCGCGAGGGGTTCTTCGACTTCAACGCTACATCGTCCGGTTCGATGCTTTGGGCGATCGTTAGCGCCATGTCTGGCATACTGTTGGGAGATACGCAATTGGTCGAGAGCATCAACTCTATCATCAAGCTGATCTCCACACGATGCGCGAAAATCGACATTGCGAGCTTGTCTGCCAGGGTAATCTTGAAGAAGGCAAGCGCATTCGCTCGCGCCGGGTCTGCCTTCAGATCGGCGCATGACGACACAATTTCGAAGAGGTGGTCAGCAATCAAGAGCCGTGCATTTCCAATCCTGCAGGTCGGCTTGGTTGGCGAAAACATCGTAGTATCGTAGCATTTAGTTTAGCGTTTAGCGTTGTAGTATCGGGCCACAAACAGACAGTTAAAAAAAAAAACAAAACAGTCTATACCACCACGCCTCCTAACGTAACGGTAGCCGGTAGCCCAACAGTCTCATGGGTCTGTCTCATGGTCTCGTGCCAGGACATGATTGCTGTTGGTCAAGACTACAAGGTCGCGATGAACGCCGCAGATCGTTTCAGGCCGACAGATACGATGACCCTGCGGACTTTGCACGCAAGCCTCGGCAACACGAACCTGGCAGCTGCTCTGCCTGAGCTGAAACAGGCACACAACATGCATGCATGCGTCACTAAGTCACTGAGTCATTGAGCGCCAGCACTTGAAGATGTTTGCCTCGCGGGTTCAGTTGATAGTCATAGTCGATAGTCCGGGGGGGGGGGGGCAGGGCGTGTCGTAAATATGTGTGCTGTTCATTCAGAGTTTGTGTCGGTGGTCAGTCTAAGTTGAGAGGTGAGCGCTGATGATTGTTGATTGAAATAAAGGTAGGCACTGGGCACGGTTGCTGGACAACTTCAGTGGCTGTGCAGTATGCAGGATGCCAAGTTCAAGGGGGTTGCCAACGCAGTGGTCAAGTGGCACAAGGCATCAAAAGCATTCATGAGCAGCGACGCTGTGGGTAGCCTTTGGTCTGCTGTGGCATCGACGGTGCTGTATGTGAAAACGCCGTCTGAGAGCAATGACTTGCTGGCGTTGCAGGCTGCGTCTCACAGATCTCACGACCACATGGTGCTCCTGAAAACCACGCATGACGGGCGTTTGGAACCTCTTTTGGATGAGAGAGGCTTGCTGCAGTTCAGTTCATCGCCGAATGTTTTCCGGCAGTGTTACGCCACTTGCCAAGACGAAGAATCTACAATCTGTTTGATGGCAATGCGTGTGCTGTATCAAGAGAAAGGTTTGCTCGGCTGGTTGGACTCTGCCGATCAACTGCCGGCGTTGCAAGACGTTGGCGCCGGTGTAGCTGCCCACCGCGACATTGATTCAGCGCCGCTCTGGAGACCCTGGAGGCCGTATAATCACGCTGCTTTGGCTGGGGAGCGGGACAACAATTTCATGCAACTGACTGTGAAACAACGTGCTGGTGATGAGGATGCCCCGGACACCTCTAATGCTGGTGCCGAGGGTGTTCTAGATGAAGAGGGGCAGAGGCGCGTGCTTGAAAACCATGAGGATGTAAATGCTGGATATGGTTTGGGGGACGATTCCCAAGAGGCATCGGAAGAGATGGCGGCTGGCCTTTTCGAAGATGCAGACGCAGTTGATTCTGCCAACGCCGCGACCATTAAAGCAGCTGCTGGAGTGATGAAATCTCGCGCTGATGGCGGCACCAGCAATGCAGACTTAAGGAAGATTGAGCAAGCCAGCGAGATGCTATCGAATACGCTCGCGCAGCCATCTGGTTTGACAGGTGCAGAGCTGGAAGAGGAGGCGTTGCTGCTCCTGATTCGGCAACATAATGCACAGGCTCAGGACGCTGGGGTCAAGCGCACCAGTCAGGACGCAACTGCAGCATCCAGCAATCCGAAGCGACTACGCGGAACAGATTACTCAGACCTCCTGAAGCAGTTCGAAAACAAAATGGTGTCATCTGATGAGGATGAGGCTGATGATTCAGACTTTATCGAAGATGCCGAGGACGATGCCGTTGCCCGTACGTCAGAGTCGGCAGCCACGATTTCGAAGGTGTCGCTGCCAGCTGAAGCGACACAGGGGCGGCAGCAACAACAACCTCTGCATCGCCCTTCCACATATAAGAAGGCGTACAAGCTGTGGCACGAGGCATTTGCAGAGACGATATCAGCAATTGATGACGCCGCTGAACGTGGCAAGCTGCCTATCGGCCATGCAGATGAAATCAGTGTGCTGGTGCGTCTTCCACAAGGGCATGACACGGATCTACAGCTGCAGTGCTACGAATTGGTTTACGTGAAATGGGTGAATGCTGCTGAGCGCGAGGGTCGTCTTGCTCGAGTGGATGCAGCCAACCGTGTGGTCTGGTCGCCAGCTTCTTTGTTCGGCAGAACCGTGCCGACAGAGGTGTTTGATTTGGCACGCTACCAGTGCCTGATCTCTGCCGCAGGCGCGTGTTCCAGGAGGGTCCGAGGAAGTGGTACAGGGGAGCTGCGCGACCAGTTGCCTTCCACGGTCTGTCGCTTCGTGAATTTCCTTAAGGTCGCCATCATGCATGCGAACGAGGACTGCCCGGATTGTTGATGTGTTGAGTTGAGTTGTGCTGTGAGTTGTTAAGTTGCTGAGTTGTTGACAGATCTGCTAATACCGAAGTCATCAGTCCAGGTGGTTTTGCCAAAGTAATACATTCCACATATGTTGTGACGTTTGCTGAGTTGCGGAGTTGCGCTGTGTTGTTGCCGAGTGTGTTGATGGCTCTGCGCTCAGACCTAAGTCATGAGTCATGAGTCATTTGTGACACGTCTGGCATGTTGGATTGTTGAGCATCGTTTACGGTCTAGGGCCTAGGGGTTAGTGTCTAGTGTCTAGGGCCTAGAGTTTATGATCTAGGGTTTAGGGCTTAGGGTTTGGGCTGTTTAGAGTTCAAGGTTCAGGGTTTAGGCGGGTTTAGGGGCTAGGGCTAGGGTTTATGCTTTAGGCTTTAGTGTCTAGGGCCTAGGGTTTAGGATCAGGTTTAGGGCCTAGGGCCTAGGGCCTAGGGCTTAGGGTTTAAGGCCCAGGGTTGGGTTTAGGTTCAGGGTTTATGGTTTTACCGGTTTTACCAGAATTCCCAACGCAACACACATGGCTTGCTTGCAGGAGGCTGGAAACGTCCAGCTGTGGTCGCATGGACTCAACCGCAAATGCGCTCTGTGTTCGGAGCGTTGCTCGGGCCGGACTGGCGGTCGACGTGCAGGGCACACGGGCCTCTGCATGCTTTGCCTCACGTACTGGCACGACGAGTGCATGCAGGCAGTGATATCACAGAACATGACTGGAGATGCGCCGCCTCCCGCAGAGCCTGACATGAGAGAGTGCGACAAGTCTTTGTCGTCACTGCCCGCCTGGATGCGGCAACTGCTACTGCAGCCGGACAGCCGTGGACACTCAAGGACAGCGGAAATCCTCAGTTGCAACACATCACAGACTAACTTGCGTTCAGGATTTGCGCTGGATGCGCTCGGCACGTGCGTCAGCTGCCTGCGCAGGCCTCTCCCGGTCGGCTAGTTGATTTGCAAGTGTTGTGTACTTAGTACTTGTGCACGATGCTTCACGACTGAGTTTAAGATTAGGAGCGGGGGGACAGTAAGACCACCAACTCCAATAAGTAACGGCTCGCGCAGGTGCAACAACTCCAATCAGCGACCACAGCTTCCAGTTCTTCAGGTGCAGGGCCGGGCCCTCGGACTAACTGGACCTGCGTGACATTATATACTTTGATTTAGTGTTATTACTGACATGTTGTTGTGCGCGGTTTGTCTTGTTGCATATTGTTGCCAACTGTGACTCTGCTGTGAGCTGCTTCAGTGCCACGAATCAGCATGATAGTAGTCACAGTAGTCACAGGTCACAGCCGAGGCATAACAAGCAAAACATGTAGTAAAAGTGCGCGACACACAGCTTTGTGTATGTAAGCCTGTAAGTAGGCATGTTTGCACAAAAGCAAGGCCGAGTGCCTTGTTGGCGGCATCGCTGCCGCCCCCGCCAGCTCCACCAGAGCACGCACCGCCGGCACCAGCTTTGCAGACTCCACCGCGACCCCCACCAGTCCCTGCAACGTATGTCCCGCCTAGACCGCCGAGGGTGCGGAAAGAACCTGTGCCAGAACCTGTCGGGCCCCCGCCCGGACCCCCGCCGGGACCCCCGCCGGGACCCCCGCCAGGACCCCCGCCGGGACACCCGCCGGAACTTGCGCCGGGCCACTTGCCGGGATTCTCTTCGGCGCCGCCACGCGTGCCGTACCCCGTTGGCCGAGTGCATGAGCCACCGGTGCCGATGCAGTCGGTGCCAGAGCTGAACTTGAACATGGGCCTTGGGCCAGGACTCTTGCAGCAGCCGATGCCAACGTTGCCACCCATGTACATGGGCAACATGTGCATGCCTAGCCTGCAAACGCTTGGGCTTGGGGGCATTGGACCAGGCGCTGGCATGACAGGGATGGGTCTGGGCGGCCTACTGCGCCCAATGAGTGGGTTGACCCCACCAGCCACGCAGCCACCAGCCATGCATCCTGCGGCGGCAGCGGCAGTAACACAGGTGAAAATGCCAGCAGA